CACCCCCACCATGCCAGCATCCGCTCCCCCTCCCCGCCCCAGCTGCACCATGCCAGGTCAGCACCCTCCTCTGCTGCACTGGCCAAGTCAGCACCCTCTCTACCATACTGGGTTGAGTCAGCACCCCCCTCCCCCACCCTACAACAGCTCACTAAAGCTCCTAAAGTGGCCCTCCAGCCCAAATAATTGTTCACCCTTGTCCTAAGCTAACATAGTGCCTCAGGCATCTGCAGTGGTTCATGTTTCCCCTGCTTGTCCTGCCATCTGAGGTGCATCTGGGTCTTGATCCCGCCCACCAGGAGCTCCATGGTCCAGATCTGGCCCAAGCGGCTGGACGAGTTTGACACCCCTGCCTAGGTAATAGGGGTGTGTGAAGCTGGCCCTATTCAATTCAGATTCAGATCTGGTCTGAATTGGGAACAGTGATTTGCTTCATTGATTCAGATCACTGTCCCTGATTTGATTCGGCCGAATCTGAATCGGAAGATTCGATGCTGATGTGGAAAATCGATGATTTGGACATAGATACAGCTTTAAATGTTTTTTCTATATACCTCGAGGTACCATTGTGGCTTATGAATGCTGCGATGATGTGGCAAATGGAGCATCCCACAGGAGTACAGGCGGACCCTCCACATGCTCAGCAGCAAACCAGGCTCACCAGGGAGCATGCAGGGAGGCTCCTCCACACCCCTCACGGGGGGACCCAGGAGGTAGCAGTTGCCAAGCTGGGGGATGCCCCCAGTGTGCTCCCCGGCAGACTAGAAGTGGACCGGAAGTGCTTCTGGTCCACTTCCAGGTTTGCTGCCAAGCAGGCTGGGAAGCCCCCTGTGCTTCTGTGGGACACTCCACGTGCCCCAGCATCGCAGAACTCAGGAGCCCCTGCTACCTAGAGGTATGTAGAAAAAACATTTAAAGCTGCATCTGTCCAAATTGCCAAATCTTTCCAAATCCCAAAGGGTTTTGATTCGATTCGGAGAGATTCAAGGGTCCTTTGATTTGATTCAGATTTGGAGATTTGGCCACCAAATTGAACCAAAGCTCTGCTGAATTGAATTGGGGACCAAAGCTTCACATAGCCATACTGGGTAAGTGTAAAAAAAGAAGTCAGTGCTATTTTCTCAGCAAGAATGAGCTGTGTTCAATTAGGTTCCTATTCTCAGAAGAGTATTGAAGATTCTGGATCATGAATGGATAAAAGTACTTAAAATGCAGTGCTCAGGCAGATACTTAAGCTCTGGAAAACATTGACAGTTCTGACACACTTGTGCTTAATTTTGCTTTTGCCTGCTCTTGGTGGTTTCCTGGTTAATTTCCATGCCTTCTGAACTGTCCTTCGGAGGGTCCTGTCTTTCCTTGTAGAAAGCATTGGGAGCATAGATTACTTTGAAACATGCTTTTTAAGTCAGGTACCTAATTTTCAGCCATGCTGTAACCAAAATTGGAGGTTAAGGGAACAATTTGGATTTGTCCTTAATGAAAACATCTAACTATCATAAGCACTAAAGACAAACACTAAATACACAAACTCCTCTGATTTTCATTCGAACCAACAAATTAAATAATTTACTTTTTATAAACAATTATAGTATTAAGTTTAAATATTTTTTCCAGATTCATTGAAACTTTTAACATCATTACCAGAAGTTCCAGAATATTTTGATTGACTGATAGACTGAAAAAGCACTTTCTATTCCACCCTTATCATACTCGGTAGTTTTCAAAATGTCTAAAGGCTTAGACAAGCAATATGTTTGCATTAACATAGCCTACCCTAACATAGATCTAAAAAATGGAATGTATGCATGATGTTTAGCCCTACAGTAGTGAAACTTACTGGAATCTGGTGCTGCACTGAAGTAAGTTGCAACAGTTTAGGTATCACATGTCCTCTTTTCTATTGAGCTAGCTATGCTCAGTGCAATATGTTATTGTCTTTACTGCCACCTGTGACCTGCTATAAGAGTACCTACTTTGGCAGCTTCCCTGGGAATTCTAATAGTCTGTCCTCTTTGAATAGTAGTGTAACCCACATGAGTTTTGAACAGTGATGTAAGTTATGCTAGTCTTTAATATGTTGTGTGGTCCATCTTGTGGTGTTGCTAAAAATGTGGTTTTTAATTAAAAATCATTTATATTTATTTATGATGATCTTACAAGTTATTAGTACTGGACAGAAAATGGCTCTATTATATTTTACTAAAAGCTAACTAATCCATAATTAGTTTCAACACACATTTGTAACACAGGCATTAATCTAAGTTTTGCAGTAAATTATGTTTAGCAACTGTTAAAGGACTGGATTGGAATAGTAGCATTATGCAGATAGCAGAGAATTTTAGAGATTTGCCCCTTTATTTCCTACTCTAACTTGAGAGTATAAGTAAACATATTTCTAAAATATCATAACAGTAATTGAATTGTTGATAAATTGCAGATTTCAAAATGGAGGAGGTACCAAGGGATCAGATAGAAATTCCAAAAACTGAAGAAGATGCTGGGCAGCCTGGCCCGAGCCCAGCTGCACCTGAGGGTGGTGGATCTGGCACAACTGTACCAGAGGATACTCCCCCTGGCCCTCCTGCACCAGAGGATATTGTGCCCAGATCTGCCGGCCACGCTCGACAAACAGCACCTCTCCATTCTTCTGAAGACCCTCCGGCCTATCTTCCAGCTAGCCGCAGGATGTCTAAATTTCGCCGGAGTGTTAGTGGAGTTCAGTCTTTACAAGAAACCATAAAAGAAAAACAGGTTTAGTATTAAGTATTAGATCTTAAACTCAGTAGTCTTCTCCCCAAAGTTTCACTTTTACCCCTCAGTTTATTAAATCCAGTCATTAGAAGCTCTGCCTATTAAAATGTGCGTAGCTTTTTATCTTAGAAATATTGTTTTGCCATATTTTAATTTTTTAGAAGAGTGGAGAGAAAAGCACATGAAATGCTCACTGAATAGCATACTGGGACACTTGCAAACTGTACATGTCCTTGGTCCTGCAGATGTTTCTATATGTGTTTGACTTTTTCCAGTAAAAGTAGTTTTAGTCAAATTAACTTATAAGTGACCTTTATTTTTATGTATTTTGGACAGCAGTAATTGAAATATTGATTAAGCTAGAATACTAGCTAATATATACCACAATTTTTTTTTAAACAAAACAATTTTTTTTTTAGTGTGGGATATTTGTTTGCTCCTCCTTGGCATTCATGTGGTGTTGATGTGTGTTTCTGTAATTTTTATTATTTTGTTTTTCTGTTAAACCACAGAAAGAATTTACTTTTTCCTGGAGTACCATTAGGGAAGTTTCACATAAACAATAATATTTAGTAACAATTTTCAGTTACGGAGCAGGTTAGGAGTTACAGTTTGTAACCACTTCATAGACTTTAGTTCTTTTAAATGCTTTTGTTTGTTTGTTTTGTTTTAGGCACGATATAGAGATGCAAGAGAAAGTCGAAAGATGAAAGTTGACGCTTCATATAAATATATATTTGAAGTTCTAGGAGACAGACTTTGCTTAGATGTAACAACTGTAGAAGAGATGATTTTGGATGGCCCATCAGTGAGTCTGATTTAAAAATGTGTTGAGTTTCTGTTATTAATATACTTATGTATTGTTGCTCTTTCTGAACTGTATGGTTAGTCAATATTTGGTATTTTGGGGTTTGTTTCTATCACAAGGATAAATTGGTGATGAAGTTAAGTGTTTATTTGTTGTAGTCCTATTTATTTACAGAGAATTTTCACAAAATCCTGTATCACCAAACACAGTACAAATCAAACAAGAGAGCGCAATTTCTTTGGTCAGCATTCCAAGCTTCCTGTTCTAGGTATTATAGCACCTAAAACACTTTTTTCCTTAGGTTTTTCCCAGGTTACGACTGCTTCTGGTTCCCATCTTTCTGAGGCTTTCTCTGTTTCCATTTGTGATGTTTCTGGCTGCTTCTGCTTCTCCTTACATATAGTGCAACTAAAACAATACCCAGTGAAACCTCTGTACCTTATATGAAACAAAGCTTATTTGACAAAACTTTATTGTGCCTTAGGTTTTGTGTTGTGTCTCCTGTTGTTAAAGCCATCTTACTATAAGAGGAGCTTAACTGCTTCTTAAATGTATCCTGAATGAAGGACAGCCACCAAATCTATTTCTTCAACTAAATTTAATCTGTTCCCCAACATAACAGTATTTTGTTTTAATAATAATTGTATTATTTGTGAAATAGCTTCACTGAAATATTCATGGTTTTGTGCGTGTATCTAAAGTACAGTAAAATTAAAATACTATAGAAGTATTAATGAGATTTTAAAAAAGAATACTATGTCATTTTTCAAAGTACATTCTACACAGGGATGATGATGATTACAAAAGGGTAGACCCCTAACCTTTTGTAGGTGGGGGTTTTTTTGGGTGGGGGTGGTAGGGAGGGGGGTAAGTGAGGAAGGGATAGAGAGAAATGGTCGTATAGGGCAAGCAGATTCCACAACCTATGAATTACCATCACAAAAGATCAGTCATAAAGTCTCAGTGTTTATGATGTCTTAGAGTCAATATTTATTATAACAAGCTTGAATAGTCAAGAACAACAAATTAAGCAGGTTTTTTGGCATCTTTCGTGTTGAAGTAGTCACTGAGTAATGTGGAGAGCAAGCAAAAATGGATCATGATTCTGTAGCTCAGTGAGAAGTCCCTGCTTCTAAGGCTGCTTATGGATTTTATCTTAGACAGCTATTGGTTAAAAGACAGGAAAAAAAACCTCTGGCATGAGGAGTATGCTCATATGGCTGAGCTTACAAACCATGCTTTGTTTCGTTTGCTTGCCTGCTGATCCTGCAAATCTTGCACTCTTGGGGTGTGTGCAAATTAGCGCACATGTGGTTTGTGATGCTGCAAACCACACGCACTGTACATGCATGCATTTGCTGCACTGCTAATCAGCAGTGGTGGGTTTTTTTTGACACCAGGATCTCCAGGGAGCTGAGTTGAATGATGGCTCCCAACCTGCCTTGGGAGCTGGCAGGAAGTCGCTACCAGCCAATAGGCGAGAGAGAGTGGGTGGGGCTACAAAAAGCCTGCAAAAATGAAATACAGGACAGTGGTTTGAACTACAGTCCCCAGGCTGTTTTCAGGGCTTGGAGGAGGGGAAGTGAGGAGAAAGGAGCTGCAATATGGGGGCCAGTTTGCCTGAAGTAGTGTGGATGGAGCAGGGGAGAGGCCTTGCTCTGTGATATGTTCCAAGTACCATTTAAAGAGGCCCCAAGGAGATTGTGGAGGAGCCTGGTCTGAGTGCAGCTGGGTGGAGGATTGACTTCCCCACAGAGGAGACCCCAGCAGAAATAGAAACTGACTGCTGCTGCAGAGCAGGACCTGAGTTAGTTTCACTTAAAAGGCTGCAGAAGTTGGTGCAGTCAATGTGATTGTGGAGTGATGTGAGTCCTTGTGCCATCTGGGACAGCTTGGACTATGCACCAGGTGAAGATTCTCATCCCAAACAGTCCTTCTGAGAGTTGGAGTTGGGGTTTTAAGTTGCAATGTTGAAAGGGGTACTGTATTTACTTGCATCTGAATTGACCTTGAATTTAAGATTACCCCCCAATAATGAGATTCTGTATATGAAAAATGTCTACATTTGTTATAATTTTCCAGCTACAGAATCTCATTATTGGAAGGTTGTCTTAAATTTGTCACCCCCTCACCCACTAATATGGCAGAGAAAGCAGTGGTTGGGGGGAGGCAGGTGACCCCTTGCCCTCTGCCCCCTGCCCTCCTCACTTCTTACCCTTTAGTCTTCCTGCCCCAGCTCCCCACAGCCTCTGTTCTTCCCCCATCTCCCCACAATCTCTGCCCTTTCCCCCTACTCCCCAGTCTCTGGCTCCCCCTGCTGTCCCCCACCCCTTACTGTGAGGCACTGCTTGGGTTCTGTTCCCTTCTGGAGCACAGCACATGGAAATACAGCAGCCCCTACAGTCATGCAGCAGTGTCAGCACTGCTGATAGGCTGGGCAGGGGACACAGTTTCCATGTGCTCTGTGCCTGGGCAGGAGTCCAGCCTGAACTGGAGCTCAGCTGTGTCTGACAGTAAGGTGAGGGAAGGGAGTGGGGGGTGGTGGTGCAGGACAGAAGCTGCAGAGGGCAAATGTGTGTGTAGGGGGGGTGGCAGGAGGCTGCTGTGGGTCTGACTATGGCCCCAACCCAAGCCCAGGGCCTGAGTCAGAGCCGCAGCAACCATTTGTCTCCCTGCCACTTTGTCTGCAAATCTAAGATGAGCCCCCCCCCCCCCCCCCCCGCTGATTTGGGGTGGGGGGGATCTCATATTAGAGTCTAGTAAATATGGTTATTTTGTTATCAGGTTTCCATGCAGGGTTTCATGGGTTATATTACAGATAGCTATTCTAATGCCTATGGGAGTAAATACATATGACTTGTTTATACTCTACTGTTAAACTGCTGTATTGTTGGGGATCCTGGTGTGAGGAGTGGATTTGGGAACAAGCAGTGTGTTCCTAATGCCTGGGAGCCAAGCAGATTGAACATCCTGGCTCTTGCCATGGGTCCTGTCCGCTCTTCACACTGGACACTTTGGTAGGAGAAGCATGCATGGTGCATGGGCAGTTTGCTCCATGAATGATGCGTGCCCTCGGCGGCTGGGGAGGGCATGGCTCCACCAGCGGCAGCGGGAGCCCAGTGGTGGTGAGAGGGGAGCTTCCACAGACACTGCCAGCACTGGTGGGAGGGGGGTGGTGAATGCTGACCATGGGCCAGTGACCACTTGCAGATGCCAACAGCGGCCAGGGGCAATTGGGGACCGCCCACAGATGCTGCTGGCCGTGCCAGAGGTGGGGTGGCAAGTGGCGATGTGCTGCAAGCGCTGCCAACAGTGTTGGTGGCACCTTTTTGCAGGGGGTGCACTGCCAAGCGCAGGGAGTGCACGTGCACCCCCTATGCGTTGCCCCTGGTTTGCTCCTTGCTTCCCCTCCCCTCCTGCTCTGGGAAAAGTAGGGAAGCCTTTCCCTGCCACTTGATTCCTCTTGGGACCAGGAAAATGCAAGCAGCAGCTGTTCCCCTGAGATCTGGGTCACCCTGATCTCAGAAGTTATGAAAGACATTTCCCTGCTGTTCAACTCTTCCTGTTCCCTGGGAGAAGCTGTCCCAGAAGTGACTTCTGCTGGGTTGGAGATAGGTTATTTTTCTTCCAGAAGCACCATTTTTGTTTCTGGAGAAACTCCTGGTAGAAACCAGGAGAAGTGTAAAGGCGTTCACAGCGAGTTACCATTATCCTACTAGAGTGTAATGCATACAAGTGGCCAGTGTTATGAACACCAGAAGGTCCAAGAGTTGACTTGCCAACACCAATTGATATATGTGGAAGAAGATTATTGTTACATCTCTTTATATGAGTATAAACTCCTCAGAGACATTTGATGTTCTGAGGGTATATATTTATAACCCTACTGAGTGTGAAGATACATACAAGAGTGCACATCTGTACTTTACATCTACTCCAGGGAACCATAGTTAATTGCCAACTACTTTTTGCTTTTTCTTTTGCAGTATTTTCACTTTTGCTTGGATCATGTGGAGATAGCTATTTAACACACTTTTACATTAACACAATAGTTTTCAAAGATCATGCTCAGGGTATTAGTTACCAGCAAATGCCAAGAATGGGGTTAGTTTGTTTTTTTAAATTTATATTCAGGTTCTTTATTTTCACTTTAAATTCCCAATAAATAAAGTTAGAGTTTGGAAAGAACAATTTGGTCACATAGTTCATTTTCCTGCTCTTATAGAATAAAACACTTATCCCATGTCACCAAATCCTTGAACAAGTCAAAGAACACTGTATGATTTTAAGATAAATATAAATGAAATATTCTGTCAGCATTTGATTTACAGTGATACACTTTTTGATTTAACAGTTAGCAGCATTCGATAATTTTTTTGCCAAAGGAGGAAACAGAACATTGAAATTTTTGTATCAAGAAGGAGATGCACCAGGAGTAGGTAAATTTTGTATTTTCTTAACATTATCATAATTTGTGTGCTGATTGTACCATCTAGTGTTACTTCAATCTTCCCATTATAAGATCCTCTTCACAGTCATTTATACCTTTATCTATCTTTAACCATACATGGACTGACATTTTTTTGCTGGGTATCTGGCTCAGGTTGAATTGCTTTAGAATTTTTCAGTCCATCTGCTTTTGAGAACAAAACTACAGAACATTAGTTTTTTTATATTGTTAAAAAATCTGGCAGCCATTTCTTTAAGAAGGTCTCATTCCTGGTTTGCTATCTAACTACTGCTTTGGCTGAGTGGGCTGGGGCACTAGAACTGAAAATTTAGGGATTATTTCTCTTTTCTTTTCAATGACACTGACACCCAGGCAGCATGGAGGAGGAAGGTGCTTGACTCAGGCCCAGAGGGAAAAGGAGTTGAGAAGGGAAATTTGTAGATTGGGAAGTTAGTATCTTGTTAAGCCTGAGTTTGGAATTAGGGACATAAAAGAGAAATTGTGAGTAGGAGTTCTAGGATGAAGGTCTCGTTAGGAAAAGAGACAGGGATTAGAAGATGGTGCAGGAGGTGGAAAATTGGACAGGCACGATGATTTGGGTGGCTGGAAGAGAGGAAAGAGATGGATAATATTAGCTGAAAATGGAGAGCAAGAATTTACTCTACAAGGAGGTTGAGAATAGTGAGTCAAGGTATGACGGGAAGTTGGATTGGCTGTGCAAGTTTGAAGCATGGGAAGGAGAGACTGGGAGTTAAGTAAAGAGGTTTGGTTTTAGATAGGAAGCCCACAAGGGAAACTAGGACTAGCTGTTCAAAAAGACTCAGATGAGAAGCCTGAGGAATGGAGATTGGGACTGTATAGGCAAGGAGAAACAAGACAAGGAACTGGGTAATGGAAAAAACAAAATTAGGACAGGGACAAATTGCTGAGAAGGGTGCAGTAGGTACCAAGCTTTAGGAAATAGGCAGAAGATGTATGTTAACCAGAGTGTACGCACATCAGAACCTGGAAGGGAATCGAAGATTCCCAACTCTCACCATTCCTCTACTGTTGTCGAAGATCTTTGAAACCCATTGGCCAGGTGTGCCTCACTCTTTACTGCTGGTCCTGGTAGAGAATGGTAGCCTATTACCATAGTTACTCTTTTAACTTGAGTAACAGGCCTGTGTTATTGATCTCAAGATTTCATCCCTGCCAGTGAATCATGTGAGTCTCAATATAGTAATACTGTAACAAGTGAGCATCCCGGGGCTGGTTGAATTGTTGGCGTGCCCACTTGTTTCTGGGCTAACCACCCACCTACCTCATCTGCCACGCCTTTATATCAATATAAAGTTGATAACAAGGCAGGAGGCTGCCTATTTATTTGCCTTGATGCCCAGGGCCTGTACACGGCACCAAACCTCCCCTTATACCTTGTCCCATGCCTCGCAGATAGCATCCATGGCCTAACACCAGGCGTATAATTCCATGCCCTCACACTGAGACCTGCACTCCAGTGCCTCACGTTGGGACTCTCACTCATATGCCCTCACACTGGGCTCACAATCCATGTGCCCTCGCACTGGGCTCTCAGTCTCACACACTTGGGGCTCCCAGCCCTTCCCTTTCCTTGGGCTCCCTGCCCGCCTTGGGACCCTCTTGGTCTCCTCATGCCCCCACACTCCCCTGCCCACCACTGGGCCTCAATCCCCTTGCCTGAGGAGCTTTACACCCAGCTCCTTCCTGGGCTCAGGGCCCCACCCCCTGGAACCTCACATCCAGCTCCTTCATACACCTAAGGACTCACTGTAAACCTGGGCTCTGCCTCAGGTCCCTTCACACGACCTGGGCCCTGCCTCAGATCTTGCTGTGAGCCTGTGCCCTTGTTTTGTCTTTGGGATATGCTCCCCTTGCCTTTCCCCTCCATGGGGCAGCCCAGAAGGCAGCAAGGGCTGTGCCTTTCTGGGGCCCTATGCTCACCCTTCACTGGGGAGGTACAGATGTGGCACTTCCTGGAGACTGCCTCGCCACCAGCAGTCCTATCACACTATCCAGCCCCAGCAGGATGTAGTTTTAAGTCATGGCCCAGGACCAGGAACCTCCAACCATTCCCGTAGTTCCTGCCCTGTACCTCCAAGTTGTTCTGAGCAGCAGGTCCAGCCAGGTGATGTTCTCCCCTTGTCTGCTAGCGACAAACTGTTGGCTCCATGGCTCAGGGCCTGCTTTTATCACCAACAGCCAGGCCCTGTTCCCAGTCAGGCAGTTGTGCCTGATTGGGAGTGCAGCCACCTGCAGGATGCTCTGCTGCTCCCATGTCCCTGTGAGTAACAGAGCACAACTTGTGCTGTTTTACAAACACGTGATGGAATTTCCAGCTCCAGCCTCCCCACAACTTACAAGCAACAGCAACTGCACTCTTGGCCTTGTGGCACAGCCCCCCTGCACAGTGGGGGGCAATGCGGCTTGGCCCCAGCCTCCAGGTATTGGCACAGCCTCTGCCACAGCGCGCTGCCGCAGCCTGACTCAGCACAGCGCAGTGCAGGGCATTGTGCTTTTGGGCAGCTTCAGGCTGTCACCTGGGGCTGTGCGCCACTTGTAGGGACCACCAGCCATACTGGCCTGGGTACTGCATGCATGAACCCTGCACCATCCAGCTGGGCCACTTCTGTGCATGCAGAACCTGGGCTGGTATGGCCGGTGAGCGGTCCCTGTGAGTGGCATGCAGCCCTGGGTGACAGCCTGGAGCTGCCCAAAAGCACACGGCCCTGTGCTGTGCTGAGCTGGGCCACAGTGGCACACTATGGTAGAGGCTGTGGGGGGGCTGTGCAGGGGGACTGTGGGGAGACCGTGCAGGGGGGCCGTGCCACAAGGCCAAGAATGTGGCTGCTGTTGCTGGTAAGCTGCAGGGGGGCTGCAGCTGGTCAGGGAATGCGTGGGGGGGCTGCAGCTGGATGGGGGTGCGGGTGGGGATGCAGGGGGGGCGCTGCAGCCAGGTGGGGGCGCATGTGGGGGGCCACAGCCTAGCGGGGAATGCGCAAGGTGACTGCAGCTGGCTACTTTGCTAGTGAGCACGCAACAGCCAGCTGTGGGCTGAGCAGTGGGGTTGGAGCCAGAGACAGTCCAACTAGGGAGCTGTAGCCGAGCAGGGAGGCGAGTGGCGGGGGCGCCGGTCCCTGGTGGGAGAGGTAGCCTGACCCTTCTCTCATCTGGCACACAGATCTGGGGGCTCACACCTCCACGAGGGCTGCTGGGCTGTGCTGGAATCATCGCAGGGTGCAAGACCCCGGATCTGCGATGAATGAGAGGAGGCTCAGGCTGCTGCAGCAACAATCTTGTCTGGTGTTAAATACAACCCACACCCAGCTTCGGTCCCTGGTGGGAGCGGCAGCCTGAGCCTCCTCTCATCTAGGGCACAGATCTGGGGACTCGTACCCCTGGGAGGGCTGCCAGGCTGTGCCAGACTCTTCCCAGGGGTGCGAGCCCCTGGATCTGTGCCAGATGAGAGGAGGCTCAGGCAGCAGCAGCAATGTTCTCCAGTGCTGGGTGCAGGCTGTGCCCAGCGCTGATCCCAGGTGACAGCGGCAGCCTCCTCCCATCTGGTGTGCAGATCTGGGGGCCTGCACCCATGGGAGGACTAGAACAGCCCCACAGACCTCCCAGGGATGCGAACCCCCTGATCCATGTGCCAAATGAGAGGAGGCTGCCTGATGAGAGGAGGCAAGTGTCAGGACTTCTGCTTTGAACAGTTTGAGGTGCAGTTTCCCAGGAACCTCTACACATATCTCCTTGCCACTTGGCAGGTGTCATGCCTCTGGAAGGGGCTACCATCCCTGCAATTTTCATCCAGATCAGGCAAGAACTGAGAGAGTTTTAGGCATTTTCATGATTCCCCATTATAGCCTATGGGTGAAATGTCGAAACTCAGTGAAACAGTTTCGACAAAATGGGACAGTGCTTCTAAACAAAACAGCAAAACAAAACACTGTCCCTTCAAAATGGTGAAATGGACACTGAAATGTAATGATGGTGTTTCGCACAGCCCTAGTGTGAGCCCCTGAATTTGCACACGGGATGAGAGGAGGCCCAGGCTCCTGCCTGTGCCCAGTGCCAGGGAAGATTGTTGCTGCTGCTGGTCCCAGGTGGCAGCAGCAGCCTCCTCTCATCCAGTGCTCAGATCTGGGGGCTTGCATCCCTAGGAGGAGTCTGGCACAACCCTGTAGCCCTCTCAGGGGTGTGGGCCGCCGTATCTGTGCTCTGGATGAGATCACTATCTTTCAGATTACTCTCAATCCTCAGATCTACCACCAGGTCATCCTCTTTGGCTAGAACCAAAGCCAACAAAGCCTTCCCCCTGGTTGGCCCATTCATCTCCTGTACTAACTAAAGTTCAAAAACCTATGTGACCGGTCAAATCTGGCCATGTGCTTCTCCCAGCAGATGTCAGGATAACTGAGGTCTCCCATGACAACCATGTCCCTTGAATGTGCAGCCTCCGTTAGTTCTTGGAAAATTCAAGATCTGGCTCCTCTTCCTGGTGTGGTGATCTGTAGTAGATGCTTACCATCATGTCTCCTTCTCCTCATCCCCCCCGTATCTTGACCCACATGGTCTCAATGCCCTTCTCTCAAACCAGTTTGAGGAGGCATACCAGCTCTGATTGAAGCCTCTCAACACCACAGAAAGAAAGGAAGTGCCTATCAAAGGGTATGGGCAAATGTTCTTTTGCAGTGCATCGAATTCTACTGCAATATAAAGAGCTTCTAATTTGGAGCACTTGAAAATTGTGTAGACTTACTCTCCCTTGCAGCTGAAGTCTATGCTGTGCTGGTGCTCTGCGGTTAGAGGACTAGGCTGGCAATTTGTCTTTTAGGCCCAAGTCTCTGGAGATCCACAAGGACTGTCAAATGCAGAAGAAGGAGCCCAGTGCCTGCCCCCTCCGCCCCCCTTTTAGTATGTGCTGAGTGCTTGCTGTCACTGCAAGCCTTGTAAAATTTGAGGGCTCTTCAGTTACAGCAGCAGCACAGTCACCTTGGGGGGGGGGGGGGAGGGGTTCAGAATGGATAACTACCATCTCTTCCTCCTGCAGTTCTTAGCTGAGTAATACTGGGTGAGAGGTGCTGTCTCTCCTATCCTGTTTGAGGTAAAGGATCATGGCATGATGGTGCAAGGGTCAGTTTGTGGGACTGGTTGAGTATAATGAGGCTAGGAGTCAGTTTGTGGGGTGGAAAAATGCCTATATTGTCACTGTACTAGAGGGCTGAAACTTACCAAGTGGTTTGGTTTTGTCTTGCCTATGTCTTTAGTTGGCTTTGTCTTGAGCGCTTGGAGGAAGAGAGCTGGCTTGTGTGCAGCTGTTGGGATGTACTCATGAGTTGAAGTTGGAGTGGTCAGTAGGAGCATGGGAGTTGGGTAGCAGGAATATGGAGGGAATACTCAGCTGCGCGGACAAGGAGACGGTGGGATGTGATATTGATGAGTTGGCCTGGTGTAAGATCAACGGTGTTTTCAGGTGGGATGGGATATTTGATGTTAGTGACATCAGGAACCTCCCTTTCAATGTTCCCGAACAGAAGAAGGAACTCTCCAAAGTCATCCTGCTCCTTGGCTGTGGCAGGCCTGGAACCAAAGGTCTTATTTCCCTGAGTCCTTTTTTGGCCTCAGCATTAACTCTGGAATCAGCAGTGAAGTCATACTCTTAAGTCAGTTATGCCTGCTAGAATCTGAGACAGTTGCCTGTATTAAGTGCAAGACACCCTCCAAGTGTCCAATACTTTATTGGTCTTTTGGGCTTTGTTGTCTTGTGTTCAGCACTTTGGCTTGATGTGACACTAGTTCCAACCATGGCTGTGTCCCAAGGGGGCCATTTTTAAAATCATGTGCTCATAGAAAGCCTGACTGTATTTACATGTCCAGAGTGAGCTGTATGTGTTCTTGTCACCCTAGGTGGCAAGGACATCTCTTCCCTCTGCCTGCCTCCAGTTAGTAAACTGTCTTGTAGATGTGGCAGAAGATGCTGCTGCTGTTATTTTGAGTGTGTGCCACTGCTGGCATCCTCCACAGGGTCCTTGACACATCTGCTATAGTAGAGACTGAGTTGTTTAGTTGGTCTGGGGTTGGGACCAGTCTTTCCCCATGTCACTAACCAGTGACCTCCAGTATTACATGCTACTCCAGGGGAGGTAGTGTCCATTTGGCCATTTCCATTGCTCACATATATACGTATGTATATGTGCCCACACGCACACTTGGATTTAAAAAAAAATACTAATATGCTTTAATTTATTTTCAGAATGTGGTCGAACAATTCCAGGAGTTGTAAAAGGAACTAAAATTATGAGATTGTATGTTGATACCACACCAGACAAGTTCAAAGGACTCTGTTTATTCTTCACTCGTTATAGGAGTGACATCCCTGTAAATGCAAAAACTATGCATGAGGTACTCTCATTTTTATGGTTCTTATATTGGTTATACCCAGAATTAAAGTTAGGATGTTTTATATCAGGTTCATATTGTTACTGCATTATAATGTAGCACCTCATATTTTTTCTTGACTGTTGATTCATAGCACAAAGTTCTCTATACTCTCCTTTTTGTGGGGCATTAGACAGATACAGTACAGCAAGATCCTTGAATACTTTAGGAATGGGCATATTCCTGGCAAGCACAAGTGAGATACCCTTCCGAAAGGGTTGCATATGCTACCAGCTATGTTGATTTGCTCCTTATTTCCTTTCTTACTGTCTCTGAAGAGGTTAAAGTCACAATCAATATTAGCGATATCAAGGATCTCTCTAAGCTCAAGTACATGAAGTTTTGTCTATCCTCCTGCATGCAGAAAGCAAGGAGAGGAAGAGATTGCTTGACTCCTTCCTCCTCTACATCATTATGGGATACCAAAAACAATTTTAGCCTAAGTAGATTGTGGAGAATCTACATTTCTATTTTATTCTTTTGATATTAAAAATATATTGGCCTGATTTTCATTTACACTAAAGCCCCTTTATAGTACTCTAACAGTGTTAAGGGGCCTTAGCATAAATGAAAATCAAGTCTATATAGGTTTATCTAGTAATTCATTGTGATTTCAGACTCTTAGGATAGGAAATCCATCTTTATTTTAAAGCCCTACTATAGGAATTCCATCTTTATTTTAAAGCACTACTATGCATATTAGTACTTAACAAATAATAAATAGTAATATTTAAAAAGTAATACAATTTTTACCATTAAAAAGTCTAGAGTATTAGGCCTCAAAAGAAAGAAAGCACTGGTAGGTAGATATACTATAGGATCTTAACACTGTGTGTTGTCCCAGTATTGAACACAAGATTTATATTGGGAAAAATTTCATAAGGGTAAGGGGTTAATTTAAAAATGGTGATTTGAAAGCCACCTAAATATTTTGGAAAGGTTGGAGCACCCAAAGAGACCGAGGGCTATCCATAGAGACTGGTAATTGGTTTATAGGGAGCCCTGCTCAGGGCTAGGATTGAAGGATTGGACTGACTGGCAGCCCCATGATGACTAGGGCAGAGTGTGGCAACTCAAGGCCCAGTCTGATAACCTGAGGGCAGCATCTTAAATTTATATCCATTTTAACATCAGGGTGTGGCAGACAAGGTATTTGGATAATACCCTGGGAGACCAGAGAGAGAGAGGACTAGTGCAGACAAACCACCTGCAGAGGTGGGGGGTCCTGTTGTAGGTGCCAACAGCTAAAATTAGGTTACTTCTTCAGCTACTAGCACAAAGATTTAAGTGGCACTTAAGATTGAAATGAATGGGTTTTGGCAAATGGCTAGTGTGTTTTGCATGATTTAAACAGCTCTTTGGTCTACCGATGGGTGTCTTAAATAGTCTATACTATACTAAAAATGTACTGAATCATCAGAGAATAATTTCTTATCTGTTGTGTATGAGATAAAAATCAATAACACTTACATATTCGTATGTATGTCGATATTTCAAATTAAATAACACCTTTCCTAAATGAAGTTTTTGTTGTAATATTTTTTTAATTTAAATTGACCTGTATGGAAGGCTTGCATGTTTTAAAAATCAGTGTTTTCAGGAAAATCTGTTGCATTGCTTATAATAATTGTGTTTTCTTTTACAGGATATATATTTTTGTACATTGGATGCTACTGAAGGACTTCTACTTGGTGTTAGGAACATGCTATCAAAGATTTTTCTACCGGCTATTCTTGCAACAAACAATTGGGGTGCTTTAAACCAAACCAAACAGGGAACATATGAAAAACAGAATTTTACAGAAACCATTAACAGATATCTTTCATTTTTAGATGGTAAGAAACAGATTAAGTAAATCATTCCATTTAAGGGTTACCTTTCAAAAGAAAGTGTCTTAAACATATTAAAGAAATATAATCCTATTTTACAAGGAAGATACAATGTTGTTACTTAATAGGCTTCAGTTTGCATGGCATGACATTTTTAAGGAAGGAGCTAGCACAGTATTTATGATCACAATTTTCATTTTTTTATTACTTTTTTGTGAGCCAAGTAAAATAATTATTTTGTAGCAGCAAAATTGATTATTGGGTTTATTTCCGGAGTGAAGTGTTTTGGATTGCTAGAAACAAACAGGGTTTGAGCATATTCTTCATTTTAATTGTTTTATCTTAGGTGCTACAATAAGCATTAAAGGAACTGTTGAGTTAAAAAAAATAGATTCTGTTGACTTTTCTAAACTCCAGTCCTTTGAGGAAGTCACAGCAGCAGCTGCTAATCCTGATACAGTGCATGAGCTAGAGGATGTGTTTATGATATGGTATAAGCAGATTGAACAAGTAAGTTATCTTAAAATGTATATCCCAATGGACAGAACCAATAAGTTCTTTAATAAAATCTGTATAGTCTTAAATCATTGTGGTATACAAAACAATAGGAAGGAGAGGAGAATAAGACAAGGGAACATACTTATTTTATACATCCACACACCTATAGGCATATACTGATATTTGGTCTGTAGAGACCAAATACCATCTCTCTCTATGGAGAGATGGCACTTCATGCCAGTGATCTTCCCCCATTAAAGTCTGTCAAGCCTCATGTTTCTGCAAGTTTTTATCAGTTGCCAATGTACTGTTGATACTCTTGCTAATTTCATCTGTGTTCTCTGAATCCACCGTGTCAAATGGACTGTCCAGCAAAAGAAAAACATATAAAAAGTTTTGTTTCTAAGTAAATAATTATCTTCCCTAGGTTTTTTTTAAAAAGTAATTAGTTAGCTTCACTGAAACTCAAACTCTTAAGGAATCATGTAAATGCGCGATTTAGCTCATCCCAGCTAACGGCAGCACTTAAGTGCTTGTTTCATGTCTCATTGGCCTAAGTTTCAGTGTATGATAGTGTGATTTTTTTTGTTTTTTTTAAATAGAATTATTCTTTGAAATGCTGTATCCCATCTCTAAAGCAGGGGTGGCCAGTATGCAGTATGTATGCCATAAGTGGCTCAGCCTCTGTGGGCAGCATGTGGCAGATGAGAGAAGGAATAGGGAGCACAGCAGCAGATAAGGAGGAAGCAGAAGCCAGAGTAGGAAATCAAACAGGAAAAACAGAGTGGGGAGCAGAAGCAGAGTAGCAGATCACACAGAGGAAAGAAATCAGAGTGGCACTTGGACAGTGCAGGACTAATTTGTAGTGTCCCTGTCAAAAAGGTTGATTCTCACTGCATCCTGAATGTCTTCAGCCCAGCTGTTTGTTATTTATGGCTGGATCTTTCTGCTGGATATTTCTGTTATAAGAAATCAAATACATATGAGAACAAAGTTCATGTTTTATTTTTAAATTTAGAAATATTATATCTATCACTGATAGTTATATACAATATGAAATATATAAAATAGAAATGCAATTTTTTTTACATTTACAATTATTGGTTGTAGGTTTTGATTGAGAGTGAGCAGATGAGAAAAGAAGCTGATGATTCAGGTCCGCTGACTGAGCTAGAACATTGGAAACGCACGTCTGCCAAATTTAATTTTATTATTGAACAGATCAAAGGACCAAGCTGCAAAGCTGTCATAAATGTTTTAAATATTGCACATTCTAAACTATTGAAGGTAATTCTCCATTCTGTTCAACTCTGCCTTGATTGATTCAAGGCTGGGCTCTGTAGCCAAGGGCTTGTGTGGTAAGCTAGATTTCAGAAGGTTACAAGTTCAAGGCTGGGTGTATCTCCCTGAACTTCCCAGCTGGAAATGGCAGTCCTTGTGTTTGAGGAAACTTTTTTGACCAGCTCATTTGGTTAGAGTATGGTCCTAATAATATCAAAGTTTCAGGTTCAATCCCTGGTTGGGGTAAATGATCACTATACAGTGGACAATAAGCTGAATATGTGTCAACAGTGTGCCCTTGTTGCCAAGAAGGCTAACTGTATACTGGGCTGCATTAGTAGGAGCGTTGCCAGTAGATCAAGGGAAGCGATTCTTCCCCTCCATTCAGCACTGGTGAGGCCACATGTGGAATACTTTGTCCAGTTTTGGGCCCCACACTACAGAAAGGATATGAACAAAGTGGAGAGAATCCAGTGAAGGGCAACAAAAATGGTTAGGAGGTTGGGGCACATGAATTAGGAGGAGAAGCTGAGGGAACTGAGTTTATTTAGTCTGCAGAATAGAAGACTGAGGGGGCATGTCTGCACATTCATTAATGTGCTGTAATTATGGCACATTAAGTTTAGTACCTATAGTAACAGGTATTAACTTAATGCGCTGCAGTTGGTGCTACTGCACATTAGTGCAGATGAATGCTTTTTAGGTGATGCTTAATGCCCATTGGACTAATTACTGTGCATTAGTCCATTAGTATGGTTTTTGCATGACACACTAATGCACAGTAGAATTAGTCCAATGAGCATTAAGTGTTTCATGTAGACATGCCCAGGGAGTATTTGATAGCAGCCTTTAACTACCCGAAGCATGGTTCCAAAGAGGATGGAGCTAGACTGTTCTCAGTTGTAGCAGATGACAGAATAAGAAGAAATGGTCTCAAGTTGCAGCAAGGGAAGTTTAGGTTGGATATTATGAAAAACTTTCTCATTAGGAGGGTGGTGAAGTACTGGAACAAGTTACCTAGAGAGGTGGTGGAAACTCCATCCTTGGAGCTGTCTAAGGCCTGACTTAACAAAAGCCTGGCTGGAATGACCTAGTTGGGGATGGTCCTGTTTTGAGTAGAGGTTTGGATTAGATGACCTCCTGAAGTCCTTTCCAACCCTAACTCCTATGATTCTGTGATTCAAAACGTTTTTTTGTACTGTATTTCTCCCTTTAGATATGGAGAGAGTTGGATGCCAGAATCACAGATACAGCAAATGAATCAAAAGACAACGTGAGATATTTATACACACTTGAAAAAGTTTGTCAGCCACTTTACAATTATGATCTGGTAATTCTATCCTTTGTGATTTTCAGGTATATAGTGTAAAATGTAGAGGTGCACCAATATATCAGTCCATATTGAATCAACACCAATAAAAGGAAAATTGACATTATCGACAATTAGCTTTTTTTGGTAGTGATAAATGCTGCATTCTGCTGGTAAATCTGGTGGGGGGGAAGGGGCATGGGGAAGGGAAGGGCCCCCCACCCAGCGCCACCACCGCTCTTTTCGCCCCTGCCACCTTTGAGCGCAGTCCTGACCCAGTCTCTCCACTGGGAAGAGGCTGGTGCAATCCCTGGCCCTGAGCCTGCAGCTGGCTGACCTCATCTCACACACACATCCAGGAGGCACATGACCCCCATGCCTTCTCCAGGGGTGCACACAGTGGCAGGGAGCTGCCCCCACTCCTTCCACCCCTGTGGACAAGCTGTGGCTGTGTCTCGTGCACCGCCCTGGCCCAGTGAGGCAGTGCCTACTACCCCTGCCCCATTCTCTTCCTCACCATTAGGACCTTGATCTGCTGCCCCCACCCCAATGCCCTTTTCCCTCACCACAGACTTACTGGCTGGACACTGCTCTCCAAGCTGCTGTGCTGCATATTGGCTATTGGATTGGTATTGACCAATATGGCTGGTTAATAATCAATCGGCTATCAGTATCAGCCAAAAAAATCTTTATTGGCGCACCCCTAGTAAAATGTTCATGTAGAACGTGTAGAAAACAGTAAACTTTAAGACAGAAGCTTCTTTATGATGACTTCTACTTCAGAATATTATTTTTTCTAAATACTAATCTAACTTTGAATTTTTAAACTATTATTTGATTAGACTTGATTATACTTTACCTTCTTTGCCTATAAATTAAGCCTTATTTCAGCATGTTCCAACATTCAGCATGGGTCAGCATAACCTTGTAGTTGTATCTTGGCTTTGTTGTACACAAAGATCTATTTATTCATTAGAAGAAGTCAGAAGGATGAAGAAGAACAGAAAATGAGATGATTAAACTGTCTCAAAACAGGAAAAAATCAGATTGAGAGGACTAGGGAGCTTGTGTATATACCAAATTAAATATAATTACCAGTAAAATGTTTTTTGGATAGTGACTGTTACAGTGAATGCCAGATTTCTTGCTGCTTTTGCAGCTTAGTGAATCTTTTTCCTCAGTCATTTTTTACAGATCATTCAGCCCTTCAATTAGATACAACCTTTGTGTCTGGAGTAATCATTTCCATTAACATGGGCAAAGAAATACAAGCAATTTGGGAGGTTTCCTGGAGTTACATAAGAAAATCATGTTTAATTTGTGCCTTCAATAAGTTCAGCAATCCATTAGACTTTCTCTTGACTCTCACTACTAAGTAATCTTACTGAAATTCATTTCCTGTGCATGATTATTCCTTCTTTTTGTTCTAGATAAGAGAGAGCCAGCTAAGTTACTTAAAAAACCCTATTACCATAGTATGTGATACCCTTGTGAGGCAGGAAAATTAGAGAATAGACTTACCAAGATCACAAAGAAAAGCTGTGGCAGCGCAGGGAATTTAAATCTGTGTGTGATACATTCCATCTTAGTACTATAGACGTGGCTTCCTCTCTTCCATCCTCCTATAAAAATGGGTTCTGGTTTTCTTTTTCAGTTGGTAGGCATGGGTGGTCCAGGTATGAATGACAAGAGGTTTGGTTTTATTTTTTTAATTTTTAATGCTACCATCATTTTGGAACTTGGGCCTAGTATGGTACATTTCATAGAGGCAAATTTTCAGGATCTTTTGGCTGAAGAGACGTCTGAAAAGCAGTGCGGTTTCTGTCTGTACTTGCACATAATGCAGGAAGATGGAGGGATTTCCATCTTGTTTGGCTCTTCATGTCATGAGGAGGAGACAGAGAGGGATTTAATAGCAGCCTTCAGTTACTTGAAGCAGGGTTCAAAAGAGGATGGAGCTAGACTGTTCTCAGTGGAGCCAGGTGGCAGGACAAGGAGCAATGGTCTCAAGTTGCAGCAAGGGAAGTTTAAGTTAGATAGTAGGAAGAATTTTCTCACTAGGAAGGTAGTCAAGCAGTGGAACAGGTTACCCAGAGGGGTAATGGAAGCTCTATCCTTGGAGGTTTACAAAACCTGGCTAGACAAAGCTTTGGCTGGGATGATCTAGTTGGGGTTGGTCCTGCTTTGAGCAGGGGGTTGGACTGGATGACCTCCTGAGGTTCCTTCCAGCCCTAACTTTCTATGATTCTATGATTTCCAGATGGAAACTCCAAACTAAGTCGTTCAACCTGTTCTGCTCAGTGGACTTTAAACATATGCATGTACTTTGATGCCTTCATCACTAATATTGTCCAGACCTTTTGGTATCTACTTCTGTTTAAATTAGGGATAAAATCATTCACTATTTTATGAATCACACAAAGCTAATCAACTGTGAGAGAGTCTGCCTTCTCCCAACTGAAGAGGGCTTTGCTTGGTCAGTGACAGGGTGTGCAGGCTCTGCTGGGTCAGTGACAAGGGCAAGGGGTCTGTGCCTGCCCCATGCCCAAAGTCCTCCAGCCTTGAATTTCCTGTGCCATGTCCAGGCCATCTGCAGACAGGTAGAGAGCTATGCTTCTCAGAATCAAAAGCTAGACTCTGGGCAGGGGAGGCTAAGGTCAACTGGGTCTAGGTTGTGTGGCAGAAGGGGGGGGCAGTTCTGCTCTGGCCTGAGTGGTCCATGGTGGGATTGGCTGTGGCTGAAAAAGCTGGGAGAGGAACATGGCCCCTATGTGCTTCAGTGCTGGGCTTTTCTAGACCTAAATACAGGGGAGGAAGGTTGTGTTCTGCTGCCTCTCTGAAAAAAATGAACAGCTATATTTGTGGTTTTTCTTGGGAAAATTTCATGTAAATAAAGGAGTCTGTTGTTCCATATTTTTCTAGTAGTATGACATTGATAAGCATCTCTAAGAGGTGATTAGTTCACCTTATATAGGGCAGCCAAAATAATTATCTGTAAGAACTGATCCTGCAGGGTTTTATAATGATTTAGTCACTTCTGGTTTTCTTAATATATATAATCACCTAATATAGTGATTACCTTGGGGACATCACTATAGTCTCCATGCTCAAAGACCCAATTGTAGGGGCTTCTGAAGATACCAAAATGTCTATCTCAAGTCTTAGTCAGCTTTATCAACTTTATAGCTTGTTTAAACACAGCTGGCATATGAGCGTGTTGCTCAGAGGAAGCCAGTGAGTGCTTGTTAGAAATACTGTAATTATCATCTCCTACCTACTCTTAGGTTTAGACAACTTTACTCAAGGTGCTGTGGAAAGAAATAGCTGTGGAATCATTGCATTTCTTGTGCAGGGGACAAATATATTAATACTGAAGGTATTTTTCCAAGCTATACCCACTTTAGATGTGAAAACGAGATATTAAAATGAGACACAAGATTGTATACATATTGAAAATAATATATGCTCGGCTTAGGTTTTGGTTTCTTCTTTGGGTATCTGATGTGTTTCTTGTGGTTCCCTTATTGGTTGAAAGATTGCATTTTTTTTCTTTTGTGTTCCAATTATGAATCTTAATTATGTCATATGTATTACTAATCTCAGGTAATATCTGATATGACAAGTTAAGTTATCTGCCTCTTTTGTTTGCAAAGCTACCAACTAGTCTTGTTTCTTGCATACGGTGCAGAATATAATTAATTGATTCTCTTTGCCAGGTCTGTATGACCTACCTGAAGGATGCCACGTGTCTGTTAAGTTGACATGGAAGAAGGAGGAATGCAACTAGGAAAAAACTGGTTGCTTAGTTTTGTTTGTCATATCCTCTTTTTCCCATTCTGCCCCTATGAACTCCAGGGAATGTTGCTTTAAGTATTTTCTTGTAAGTTTCTGTCTAGGACTTACCAGTCAATCATATATAACATATATTTACTTTCTGCTTAATAAAGACATAGTGCTGCCCATAGTGGCTATTCCCATATAAAGTGCATAAAATGGGAGTAGAGGAAACTAATCTAGTGGGAGTCAAACTTTTGGCAGATGTGACACAAAACTAGTCCCTCACTCTCCCCGACTGCCACACAGTTCCCTTCCCCTGTCAGATTGCTGCTCTTTTTTCTGCTTCTTTCCCTATTTCCTATTGTGCTGCCTGTCTCCTACCTGGTCTGCCACATGCCACACACAGAAGCTACCTATGTCACTTGGGGCACCACATGCTGGCAGTTGGCCATCCCTGTTCTAATCAATAGGATTAACAATGACCAGTCTTCCCTTAGTACCACAGTGTGTCACTAGATGGTGCCAGGTATCTGACATCAAATTCACAGGTTCATGTAAACATCAAATTTAGACTGTTCTGTGAGAGTTACTAGTTTGAAAGTCTTCTTAAAGAAAACATCATAGAAGTTACATACAGAAGACCTATGCTAATTGGACATATAGTACATTCTTCTGCCCAGATCGAATACTTAACTTTAGGTCTTTGGTTAATGCGCAGTAGTCCGAGGTGTCTCTCTTTGCTGGGAGATAATTCTACTACTGAGCATCTTCAAGGTTTTTTTCCTGGTATATAATTTAAGATTTTCCTTTCTTAGATAGTCTGTGCTTGATGAAAGTGATTTAGTTGCACATTACGTCTTATAGGCATGGAGGTAATTGTACTGGGTGCATCTACACATCCTATTAATGCGTTTTAAACTTATTGCATAGTAAAATAAGGCTTAGTAAGCTTTACCTGGGAGGGCGTCTACACCAGGGTACCATATGTCCAAGTTTTCCTGGAGATGTTCTCTTTTGTGGCCCCCTGTCCTTGTATCCGGGTGGGTTTTTAAAATGAGAGCAAGTGTCCTGGTTTTTACTCTTCCTCTGCTTTCCTGGGCTGGCTGCTTGGGGATGGGAGCTGCAGGCAGGGTGATTGGCTGTTGGGGGTCACGTGTTCCCCATGCAGGCCCCAGCAAGCCACTCCCAGGTAGAGACATGTTGTGTATGTGTATGTGTGTCTGGAGGCTGGGGGGGCAGGGGCTTAGGAGTGAGAGGCAGAGGCAGGGCATGGGCATATCACTGCCCCACCCCCACAGGTGTCCTCTTTTTTGATACTGGAAATATGGTAACCTGAACACGTGCACCTGCTGGGGGAAGTTCATTGCAGGGATACTCTTGCCCTACTCTGCCCCTCCACAGTAGCTAGGGGGAACTCCAGGTTACTCTGGGTGCCAGCCCCAGGTTGGCAGGGGGCACCAGGGTCAGGCCTAGTTCTGGGGGGCAGCGGGAGCTGTCCTGCTTTCAGGGGGCTGCCTCCCAGCCCTGTGCCCTGATTGGCAGATTGGGGCCCAGGGCTAGGAAACAGTCCCCTACCCCAGGCATCTGCCTGTCTCCCAGCATCATGGGGTAGAGAAACTGCCCCCTGTCATGGGCAACTGACTGTTTCCTAGCCCCGCACCCCTATTTGGAGATTAGGGCACAGAGCTGGGAAGTAGGCAGCTGCCCAGTGCGGGGACAGTTCCTCTGCCCTTGTTGCCTGGTGTCTTAGACTGAACTCCCGGGTTTGGCAAATTCCCCACGCTTGAACAAAGAACATACTCACGGTTGTTTTCACCCTTGCAAAGCTTTATTTAAGGATACTTGCAGAAGCAGGTGATAGAACAGAGCAGAAAGGACAGTCACCTCACACCAGCCTTAGGCAGCAGCTGCTACCCCACATGGTTCCTCTGGCCCTGGAGTGTCCTGATCCCAGGGATGCAATAGCCTGCGCTGGGACTCTGCGCAAGTCAGGACTTTTGCCAGAGTGAAGGAACCTGTAGTAACTTAAGAAAATACAGCTTATATAGTCTGAAGTAAACAACGCTATCTCAAGCTAGGAAAATGGGGATGAGTCGTGATCCAATGCACCCCATGTTTGCCACATTCCCCTGTATCACAACATTCTACTATCTAGGTTCGTGGCTTGGTCACACTCACAGAGCAGCAGGCTATGTGCCGCTTCACCGGCCTTCTGTGGAATCAGCATGCAAAACTCTTGCTCTTAGCACAGCGTGCAAAACTCTTGCTCTTAGCAAAGCTCTTACTATTACACCTGGGCTGACTGGGAGCAAATTGCTTCTGGTCAGCTGTCTACATGTGCAGTAGCTACTGCACAGTAAATCTACCTGTATCTACAGGTACTAGCCAACTGTATATTAGACTATTTTACTGCAGTAAATGATGCACACATTTAGATGGTAATGCTTTACTGCACAGTAAGTTGGTCTACTGTGCAATAAAGTGCCTTGTGTAGATGTGCCCACTGAGAGGTAAAAATGTCTGCACCTCTGATCTGCCCATTGACCAGATGTGACAGATTCAGGTTCCAGGGGCAACTCTCATGACTCCTAAGGGGGAGTGGTCATGCAATTACTGCTCCTGCTCTACTTCTGAAGTCCTTACCTCCTTTACTAGCCCATCATGCCTTTGACGTTAATATTTTTGGGGAGGGAGGCTGGCTGAGGGACCTACAGTGAGCCTCAATTGTTTTGTGTGTTAGGCTTTGGCCTTCATGGTCTCCACCCCTTTTTCTCTTGCTGAGCTGTCTAGTCCTAGTCCACTGTACCAGACCCCAGCTTTTTGTCTGGCCTTCCAAGGCCTTTATCTCTGCCTTCTCGTGGGCTGCTGAGCTTCCCTGGGCTCTCACTGTCTAGGCCCTAGGCCCAGTTTCTGTCCAACTCCAGGCTTGGGGCCCTCTGGCCCCCAAGTCTATGCTCCTTAGGTGCTAATGAAAATTGCCTCTTGTGGCCTCTCTGGGACCTCCAAAACCACCCCTACAGTTTCACCCAAACCACCAGATCTTCACTTAAGTACCTAGTCCTCCCTGGGCACTGGACTCTCCTCTTGCCCCCAGGCATCGGATCTAACAGCAACCAAAATATAAGCCCTTCTGGTTATAACACAAAGTTCTACCCAAACATTGGTTTTAATCCATTGCTATCCTTCAGCCTTTCTTTAGCTATCTCTGGGCCTAGCACACTGACAATCTGCCTCTCAGCCACAGGCACCTCTACAGAGCTCTTCCTTGTTCAGCCTCTGGAGCCAAACTGCCTGATCTGCCTCTGTTCCTGCCTTGCATATTTTGCGGGGCCCTGCCCTCTTCCAGTCAGGTGACTCCCCAGGGTTACCTGCAAGTGCAGCTCATTTCTATGGCAACCCAGATACAGTGGGACTCTGCCTGTTCTGCAGGGCTCTCCTTAGGCTGCTTATCTCTTAAAATGACAGGGTGCCCCAGGCTCTCTCTCACATCAGATTATGTACAAATTTTACATGTTTTACTATTACCAAATTACTTTAGTAATAATTTGGTATGCCTGACTGCTTTTCTAATACAATTTTTTTGTGCAAGATATGAGCTGGTTTTGGTCATCTAATCAATATATATTATTTAAATAAAAATATATATTATAAGTTGAGAATAAAAAAACTTTAAGAACAGAGAAGTGAAATTTTCTTTAAAAATTTTAGGTATCCATGGCACATGGAATACAAAATTTGATTAATGCTATAAGAATGATTCACAGCGTTTCGAGATATTATAATACATCAGAGAGAATGACATCACTGTTTATAAAGGTAAGCATATTGTCACAAACTTGTCAATGGGGCACCCCCAGAGTCCTGAGATTCTCCCTGCTGTCCCACAGCATGAGTCCTGCCACTGTTTTGTAGATCAGCCTTCCTGCTGATTCTACCACCCTGACTGCTGGAGAAATGAACTCCCCAAAGCCTGGGATCCAGAGATCAGGCATATCACACAAATAGCCTTCTAAATAACTCCAAGCCAGCACCTCCACTGCCTCCCTTCTCAGCAGCAGTATTCCAATTCCTCCCAAATCTCAGAATCCTCCAGAAGCTTCTCTCCCTGGGGTATCTGGCATTCCTTTGGTTGATGAGCCATTTCTCTCAGATGCCTTTGCTATAGAGGAGATGATTTCCTTATTACAGATTGACAGTGCCTTGGGTGCCCAACCCAAAATTGTCTCTTTCTGCCTGTGTCTAGGGGCATTTATATATGTGCCCGGGGGGGGGGGACACACTTTAATTAGAGGGTTTCCAAAAGCGGCTGTAATTAAAGTGCCCAGAACATCTTATATATCTACATCTTTGCGTTTCAAAATGGTGGTGGGGGTGCTTTATCTAAAGCTTGTTGAACGTGGAGCTGAGGTTTTCAGGTGTCTCATAATCACCTTTCCCTGGGGTGGCCCATGTATGAAACTTCATGGAGGCTGCCCTGCCACAGGCAGCCCCACTATGTGACATGTGCCCCTAGAGACTGGGGGGCATGGTGACCACCCGCAGGTGGCAGCAGCAGTATCAGTAGTGGGGGCCTGGAACAGCTCCCGCAGGTGGCCACAGCGGTGTTGGTGGTGGGGGAGGGTGAATGTCAAGCAGCGGCTGCCCGCAGGCGCCACTGGCAGTGGTGGCAGTGCTTCTTTCAGGGGGTGTATCACTAATCTCAGGGGGTGCATGTGCACCCCCTGTGGGTTGCCACCACACTAACCAGCCCCAGTATGGTGCATTTTCAGGTTTTACCAGGATGGGTCTTTAGGTCTTCCTGATCTTACTCATCCCTCACTGGGCTCTAGACAATGAAATCTTTTCATACCAGTAGAGCTTTCACACCCCTCCTACTTCTGCCCTCAGTGTTCCTTAATGTTTTGAGGTCAAGGATATAAAAGGAGACATGGCATCTACTACACCTATGTTTTTCTACTACTTTCCCAAAATCAGATTTTATTGAGCCTTCAAGAAAGGCAGGAAAGGAAGCCAGTAACGTGAATATGCAGAGTCCATTTTGAAAATCTCCAGTTATAACTAAGGGTGCAGACTCACAACACCAGTCATTTCAGAGTATTCTCAATTTACTCTAGAAAAGTGAATGGACATGCAATACAGTCTTTACTGAAGAAGAAATGCTGTTTTTTGGTGTAAAGTTATTTCTGAGGCAGTCAGATGCAAATTTACTGTGGGGTACATGTTGTGTCTGTTCCCATGGTCAGTTTCACTTTGGGGCAACCGTTTGTTCAATACAAACTGGCTTCCCAGCTACTAGTGGCCAGGCACTGGGGAGTAAAATCCAGGATAAATTACTGCAAAGTAAATGTATCATGTGTCTGCATCACAGTTACCTTACTCTTTCCTTCAAGTATCCTCTACCTATCCTACTTATGAGAAAAATTGGCAAGTATTAGCAGAAAGTGAGACTTGGGAGTAAAACTGAATAAGGGCTGGCATGGAAGGTCATGTGGCTCAGGTTGGTAGAGGGCAATGCTCAGCATTGACCCTAAATATCAATTTAAACATATTCTAAGAGATAGTATCAGAAATCTGTAACTTTTAGTTGAAATAAATGTTCCAGAAAATATTCCAGAATATACTTAATTGGTGCTGACAGTGGCAAGTGCAGGTTTTCATGCATCTCCTTCACAAATCTTATCTTTCTAAAATTATAGGATGTCTTCTGGAATTAAAAAACACTTCTTGCATCTCTAAAGGGGAAGTTTTTTTAAGGTACACTAGAATCCTATAAGGCCATATTGTAAAATGCAGTGACACAGGGTCTGATTAAATCTTGCTGTCTTTTTGAGGCAGCAAATCCAGTAACATTGGAACAAATCTGCAGACTCCCTTTGAAAGCTGTAGGTCTGCCTGTACCTTTGCATTTTCCATGCTGAAGCAAGTAACATTGCTTTGGTTCCATCCTGTCTTGTTTGCCCACATTTTTTGCTGCAGAAGTCAGCATTTTTTCGTCTTGACATGAGCTTGAGTGGCAGAAAATGGGGTGAAAGCCCTACCCCAATAGCAGTGAATTCCTTTGCTGGTCTACAGAACTACCATTCCCAGAATACCCTGTACTCCATGACACCGTCCACAGCACTGTTTCCTGCTGCCCCTACACACTGCCCAATGTGGGGAGGGTGAGAGAGGTCTTCCCTGGGCAAATTCTTGCGTGTTATGCCTCTGATGTTGATTATTAGCAGTCAAACTTGAAAGAACACTTGTTCATAGGGAATTGACCTTTGTCCACAGATGCAAAGATCTCTGGCTGGAACACTTGGAGGACTGTTTGTGCATTGGAAATGGTGTCTTCTCAATCAAAGTTTGAAATAGTGATATTCTGTGTGTAGGTCTGTATATGTGTGTGTTTTGCACATGTATTAGGGTTGTTGGTTGTAGCCATGTTGGTCTAAGGACATAGGCAGACAAGGTTCTTTGGGTAGATGTGATATCTTTTATTAGACCAACTAAATAGTTGGGAAAATTGTTTTTTGCAAATTTTGGGGCAAACTTCAGGCATAAAGAGAATCTGAAGAAGGGTGTTTGTGCCCAAAAGCTTGCAAAAAACAATTTTTACAACTATTTTAGCTGGTCTAATAAAAGATATCACATTTACCCAAAGAACCGTGTCTGCCTTTTGCACATGTATGTGTCTGTACCTTTATGCATGCGTGCATGTGTCCATGCACTCCTATGCACCCACATGATGCATGACTCCTAGCAGAGAACATGATTCACAGCTACTATTGTTCGCATAGGTAAAAGTTATCAGAACTTCAATGGTTCTGCCACTTGTATTCCAGGAAGGTAAGATCTGGATGTGAGAATCTTGTCAAAGTAATTTTCAAGAAGCAGAGTTATAAACAAATAACTTCCCTTATGTTTTAAGCCTATAAGAATATTATACCAAAGTCCATAAATTCTAGACTTTTATCTTAATATCATGGATGGTAAGAAATTTAAAGTTACTAAACAATTTCAATTACAGACACATAATTTATTTTTTAAAGATGCAGTGGCATTTATTTTTGGAGCTGGTTAACACGATGTACTGTTTGTACTTATGTGTCTATACTAGGTTACAAATCAAATGGTCACAGCATGCAAGGCCTATATTACTGATGGTGGTGTTTCTCGTGTGTGGGACCAGGAAATATCAGTAGTTATTAAAAAAATTCAGGTCTGTATAATGTAATTTTGTTGTTTTTACTGATCACCTACCCTGGCTTTTAATTTTCACCTGATAGACATATGCTAATAGCAAGGCTACGTTAAGATCAAATATTTTTATTATACAAGAATATATTGTTTTGTTTTATGAACATTTAATGTCAACTTGTTGTTTAGAGATACTTTTATCAGTCATAACACTTTATAGAATTTACAGTGCAAGATAAAGAGGCATAGAAGTTGAAGGCAATGAGTAAAGGAATGAAAAAGTGACATTTGAAACAAGCAAAATAAGTAATTAGAGAATAGGAGAAAAAATACATGTGGCAGCTGGAGCTGCTCACAGGGGTCAGAGGCATCAGGTAAAGACCCTGGTGCTCCCAAAGGCAGCCCCGGGGACTCCGATGCTGTGGGGAACTTATCCAGGAGAGAGCCAGAGCCATGCAAGCTGGCTTTTCAAGCAGCTGGCAATCAGGCTGGGCGGCAGTTGGCTGATGACATCAGCCGTGCCTGCTGCTGCAGGAGGTTTAAAAACCCCGGCAAAGGCCGGGCATAGGGGAAGCCAGTGGGGTGAGACAACGAGCTCATCAGGGTGGGTCCTGGCTAGCACAGGCTCTCGACAACACTTACCCGCTAAAGTAGGACAAATTGGGGAAGACAGAACATGCTTCCCCAGGCAGAGCACCCAGTGGAGGACTCTGGGCGCTGTCCCAGCATTGGGAGCTCTGAGTCACTGCAGCTGTATTTGACCCTATGGAGGGCATGGCTGTTCTGGGCCCGGCAAAGGGATGGAGCAGGGTCAAGAAGCAGGGACAAGTGCCAGGCTGAAACCATAAGCCTGCACTCTCCCCTGAGACTGATGTAGTGAGGCCCAATGAGAGGCCATAAGGAGCCAGAACCAATAATTAGGAATGGAGGCACAACAGCCCACACGGTTGGTGAGTGGACTGGGGTGTAGGAGGACCAGCAGCACCGACTCTGTGTGTATTACTGTCCCCGAGACAGCATAGGAACACCACTGAACCCCTCCAAGTATGTTTCCATCAAGTCATGGTAGGCAAGCTGGGGTGTCTGGCCCAGTGAGCAGGAGATACTCACACCACCATCTGGGGACATCACAATAAGAAATTCTGATATTTTTAAATAGAAGCTGAAAGTCGCCCAAAATTTGGAAGAGTAAATACTGAAGGCATAGAAGGCAAATAGGTGTAGAGGAGCAGGATTAAGATCTAAAAAAGTACAGGAGGAGAAATGTCTTTTCTAGGCATCATTAGTAGTGTTAGATAAAGCCCAAAGAGAAGAGTGGAAGCAGGGGTCAGAGGGAGCAGAAGAATGGGCAAAGTACTAGGCATGATGGGGAATAATGAAATGTAGACAAAGCAGTATTTGTTTAAAACAGGGATGAGTTCAGGCTTTATGTAGAAATGCATAGGAACCATTGAAAGAATGATAGGAGGTGAGTTAAAAACGGAGCTTATATTGGCTTATCTTGAAACTGTGGTGTGTATGTAGTGTATGTAGTGTAACAGAGACTGAATGAAGGTGTCTAATATACATGTTGAGTCAGGCCCCAAAACCCCACTGAAGGGTAGGGTTTTGGACACATCCCAGTGTTTAAGTGTATTGGAAAGATGATGATGAGGAGTCATGGAGACTGGAAATGTAGAGGTCAATAGTTTTGATGAGAACTGCTTAATATCATGAGCCAGAATTTGGCCACGTGTTGAATAGAATGGGGAAGATTTCAGAAATGTTAGTAGGAAAAACAAATTAATTGGTAAAGGAGTGGTGAGGAGAAAAGAAAAGGGAAGGAACCAAAGAACCTCAAGGTTCAGGTTCTGCTTATACTGTATACAGCTGTGTAGTTAAGCAGTGTATGAGCTAGTTGTAAGTGATATTCTTTTATGGTAGATAATCATTATTTAAAAGTAGAAGTAACCCTCAGAGAAGGGAGCAGAATCCAGAATGGGTGGATTGCAGAACAGAGCTGTGAGTGGGAGGAGTTGACTCCTGCCACTGCACGCATCCCAGGAGGGTACAGGGTGTGTGCCCCCTCAGATATGTATGCTGGGTGAGGGCAGGTTGCAGCTGTGAGCTGGGGCTGGGGTGGTGCTGAGCTCTTCCTGGGCTTGGGGCA